AAACACACAGACACATAGACACAGACCTGCAGACACACAAACACACACACACACACACACACACACACACACACACACACACACACACACACACGTTTATGTTTCTAAGTGGGTTATGGTGCTACATGTTTTAAATCCCAGCATTCAGGAGGCTGTAGCAGGAAGATCTCAGTGAGTTTGAGACCAGCTTGGGTTATATGGCAAATCTCTCTTTCTATTCTTATATTTTAAGGCAGGATCTCTCACTGAACAGGTAGCTTGCAATTTTTCTGGATTGCTAGTTTGCTCTGGGGTGCTCCCATCCCTTCCCCCAGGGTGCTCTGAGTAGAGCTGGGCCACCACATCCACCTGATATTTGTCTGAATATTTGTCCCCAGGGTTGTGTAAAGGTATTTAGCTCACAGATGCTATTGATTATTTATTTGGCTTTGGCTAAGTAGGGCATAATTTTCATCTAGATTGTATCAATACTATAAAATATGCAAGCAGAGAAAAATAGAATAATATATTATGTGGCTGTCAATAATCTTCATTAATTGGAATATATCTCTACTCAAACCTGCATTTTTTTCTTTTTAGGTGATAAATTATTTTTGTTTTTAAATTTATTTAAAATTTAAGATATAACCACACCATTTTCCCCTTCCCTTTGTTCCCTCCAGTCCCTCCCATGTCCTCTCTCTCCGACTCCCTCTCAAATTTCAGGTCTTTTTCCTTTAATTGGCACATGCTTGTGTGTGTGTGTGTGTGTGTGTGTGTGTGTGTGTGTGTGTGTATGTGCATGCACGCACATACATAAATATATAATACAACCTGCTTAGCCGTCTAGTGTTAGGTGTATGTATATGACTTCAGGGCTGACCACTTGGCATTGTGTAATTATAGGATGCTCATCTCTAGAGAAGAACATTTCTCCCATTCTCAGCATCCTTAATTTCCTGTAGTTCCTCGTCTTTCGTGTTAGCGTGTCTATTGGTGTCCTTCTTTTCCAGGTCTTGTTTAGACAGCTATATTGTTGAGGTCTCACTGGCAAAGCTTCCCGGACATTTATTTCCAGGAGACATCCTCGTAGAAGGTGTCCTGGTCCTCTGGCTCTTCCAGTCCTTCTGCCTTCTCTTCCTTGATGTTCTCCGAGCCTTAGTACAGGAGTTGTGTTGTAGATTTATCAACTGGGGATGAAGAAGGTGATACAATTAATTAGTATTATTAGTTATTATTATTGAGCTCACTCTTGCCTGGAAGTAAGGAGTCTCTTGCTTCTGTTTCCTAAGAACCGGGATTAAATATGTGCCCAACCATGCCCAGCTAAAGTGATTGAATTAAATATATATTAATTGAAAATAGATTCTGCTCTCATACAATACATCCCACCACATTTTCCCCTCTCTCCACTCCTCCCAGCTCCTCTGATCTCTCCTTTTTTCCAAATCCACTCCCCCTCCATTTCCTTTCAGAAAGAAGCAGGCCTCCAGGAGACAACAACAGGGCTGGAAAATGGCTCAGTGGTAAAAAGCTGGCTGTTCTAGAGGACTCGGGTTTAGTTCCCGGCACCCATTGGGCAGCTAACAATTGTCTGTAACTCCAGTTCCAGAGGACCTGCACCCTCTCCTGGCCTCCTTAGGCACTGTATGTATATCATGGTCACACATGTAGGCAAAACACTCATACATAAAATAAAAATAAATAAATCCTTTTTAAGAATATTAAAAGCTACAGTTGAAGCCATGGGTGTAGAGGGGTTTTTAGCACAGTGGATTACCCAAGGTCTGGACTCACACTGCTGAGATTCATTGTTCCTGCTCTGGGGCTAGCTAAATGTTCACCTTTATCAACTGTCTTATCTAGCATAGAGCCTAAAGCCAAGTGTTATCTCACAGAGTCCAAAGCTTGAAAGACACATTCAGACTACCTTTGGGAGTATTCACTGCATAGTATTTTATCTGAAACAGAACTTACATTTTGTAGCTATTTAATCTTTTGGGACATAAAGAGTTAAGTTTATCCTTAATCTACTCCCATTAGTAAGAACAAACAAGTAGCTTCCAAACTAATGAACAGTATTTACTGTGTTGCTTGTTTTCCCAGTGTACACAGGCGTTAGAGTGTCTAGATATGCCAGTCTTAAGAACAGTGGTCATTAAGTATTTTCCCTTTGCTTCCATGAAAATAATTGTGGACAGAAATCTGAGGGTGAGGTTGGGGACTTTCAAGCATATCTGAGAATTTTTCAAATTGCTGTAATAGTTGGGTTCATATTCTTATTTAGTATGTTGTGGCCAGAGTGAAAAGGTCCTGTAACATAAAGCGTGACTACTGAAAGCTGCAAGAATTGACTATGGTTGTTTTTCAGGGACAAAGTTGAGAGTGTGACAGGTATTTCATGGGGTGTTTAGAAGGGAGCTTGCAAGGTGTTGTGTACAATTGGATTTTATCAGATCCAGAGAGATGGCTCAACAGTTAAGAGCATTGGCTGCTTTTTTCAGAGGACCCAGGTTTAATTCCCAGTACCTACATGGTGGCTCATAGTTGTCTGTAACTCCAGTTCTAAGGATCTGATGCCATTTGACCTCGACAGGCATCAGGCAAATGTGGTGCACATACATTCATGCAGACAAAACACTCATACACAAAAATATAAATGAAAATACAACTGGATATTATCATTTTTCTTCAGTGCACTACTTTTACTCTTCAGATAGAAACATTTCTGTGTGTGTGTGTGTGTGTGTGTGTGTGTGTGTGTGTGTGTGTGTGTTTACATGTGTTTACATGTGTGGGTACACATTTCCCATGCCATGCACGTGGAGGTCAGAATTTGTGGCAATGGCGCTCTCCTTTCATGTTGTGGGTCCCAGGAACCAAACGCAGGCCTTAGAATTGTGCATTCCATCAGTGACAGTGTCATCAGTACTGTCTGTGATATTGAAAGTGATGATTTTACCAAAAGCATGCAGTGGCCTTAAAGAGCCCTTAGCTTCCTGGTTCGTTGTTGGGGTTCTTTCTTTAAGTTGTCATGCGTTTCAGGCTTCATCATGGCAGTGCCTTACTTCTGGAGACTTAATGATGAACTGGTTAGAATACAGTTTTAGTTGTGTTGTGAAACACTGTCCTCTGGCCATAACATGGTGGTTGCCATTTTGAAATCAGAACATCTGTGATTATCTAGATGAGAACTTCATAAGATTAATGTTCCATTAATGAAAGAGCCTATTAATGTTCCCTTGTGAAGCGTAGGTAGGGCTCAGAAGGCTCTGTCTCTCCCTGAGGATATTTTATGGTGAACAGTTGCTGGTTTGGGGAAGCAACAATTAAGTTATCAATGCTCTAGGTAACCCCAGCAACCTAGAGTCATTATTTGGCCTGTCATTAGTGCCCTAACTAGGGTGGATTTTTACTCCTATTTGTGACAGTTGTTCACATGTCCTTAGGAAAAGTTAATTCGATAAGCTGCCATGACAGACGAAATGCCAGAGATTTAAATAAGAAAAAGGTTAGCTATTTTCATAGAGCACTCAGTCCAGTAGGAGGCTGCTGTGAGTGCTCTACAGTGTCAGCCACCTGGGCTCTTCATATTATGTTCCAGGTTCATGATGTGGCTAACTTCTGGTTCTAGATGATTGCTCCAGGATCCACCAACATGTCTTCATTTAGAAAAGAAAGAACAGAGCACAGAGAACATATGCCCCACTCCCCTTTGGATTTGTTTTCAGACACATTCTCACTATGTGTCTCAGGCTGGTCTTAAACTCCTGATCCTCCTGCTTCAGCTTCCTAAACGTTGGGTTTTCAGGCCTGAACCACCACATCTAACATCACTCCTTCATCTTCATTATTATTATTATTATTTGAAAAAGGGCTTCATTCGGTAGCCCCATGATGTGCCTGGAACTTGCTAAGCCTTACAGGCTGACCTTGAACTTGCAGTGATCCTTTTGTCTCAGGCTTCTGAGTGCTGGGAACGGGAAGAGAGCCACCACACCATACTTTTCCTTTTAACAGCACAGTCCTTACATTTCATATGCCACACTAAGCCCACACCACGTTGCCAGGGATGCTGGTACCTGTAGCTTCAGGTGGGTGTCATGGAGCTTCCTTACAAAATGGGGACCAAGACAAGAGAGGCTACTGGCCCTCTCACTTCTTTTGCCATTTATGATCCAGCTCCTCTGAGAACTTGCTGCTTCCCTGCTATCCGCAAGCCTGTTGCGTTTGTCTCTCTGGCTCTCCGCATGCTGCAGCCTGACTTCGTGACTCTTTCAAATTGATTCCGTAGGACAGGCGAAGTAACTGAGCGTCCGTCCAGACACAGAGGTGTTCACAGGTGAGATTTGCTTTAAAAAATTCAGCAAGAAATTGAAAGGGGCAAGGGTGCACCCGATTGGCTAGCGGCGGACCTGCGGCCGCAGAGGGTGGGCTCTAAGCCAGCTTTGCCAGCATTGGAGGAAGAGCTCGGTGGTCGGCTCCCTCCGGGTCCTAGCGCGCATCCTGTTCTCCCCGGCCGGGTCTGGAGTTGCTCGGCCGCGGGACCGGCTCCCTCCTCAACCCACTCATCCGGGGGCGGAGCTTAGGATCCGAGGCTCCTGATTGGCCGTATCCCGGACGCTCCCCTTACCCGCCCCCTGACAGGGGTGAGAGGTCAGCGGCGGGCCGGCCTGCTGGGTCGACAATGGCGGGGCTGTGGGTCGGGACGGTGGCGCAGGTCGCGGCCAGGCGGCATTGGCGGCGGCCCCCGCAGCAACTGCTGTGGACGCTGAAGGTGAGCAGCGCAGGGCTTTCGTGGGCTTGGCTGCCCCGGGCTCCCAGGCGACACCCGCGGCGCATCCCGGCTCCCCCGGGCCGGACGCCCGAGGCAGCTGTGCTCACACTTGGTTCTGGCATGGGCCTCCCCGTGGGGACGCTTGCGCCCGAGGTCACTAGCAGGAGCGGGCCGAGATTTCCTGAGCTCCTCCGGACGGGGTTGGCTTTCCGACTGCGAGAAACCGCTCCGCGGGAGCTGAGATCCCAGTGTCTGGCGGAGCTGGCTTCTCCCGCAGCTTTCTGGAAACTTCTAAGAGTTCTGCAGTTCCCATGCTCTTTTGCTATCTTTGCAGCGACTTTGAAGGGACACTGTGGGGCTGTGAGTTGGTACTAAGTTTGAAAAAAAGTGTGCTAAGTCAGAATTGTTAAGAGTCCACAGGTGTGAGTCGAACGCCTGTTTATGGCACCACTGTACACGGCGTGAGAAACGCACCCTCTGGGTTTATTTTTCTTTCTAGGCAGTGCTTACCTCGGTTAGAAACACATTTCACTTCCCCGCCGTTCACCTAGGGTGCCATGGTGACACTAACCCAAAGATTGGAGTTTGTGTGAGTCTCCTTTCTCCTTCCACATTATTTGCTAGCATTGACTTACCTAACTTTTAAAGAAGATTTACTAAGTTACTTGAGCAAATTTCTTAAAACGAAGATCCCCTGAAAACCCTTTGAGAGCTGTTTGAATGTTCACGGTAAGCCTCCCTCCCCTGTCTTTCTTGAGGTATATTGTCAAGTCAGATGTGTAGTGTTGTGCACCCTGTAGTCACACCATTGGAAAGGCTGCATGCAGTAGAGAAGGATTGTGAGCTGAAGGCCAGGCTAGGTTACATAGAAGAAACCTGTCTCAAATCCTTCCTTACCTCCCAGGGGGTGGGGTGGTGGAGTTAAAAAGAAAATCTCTACAACGTTTGGCTTATGGTTATTGAAATTTGAGTAGGAAAGCATTTCAGAGATGATCTGCCTCCTCTCTCTCTCTCTCTCTCTCTCTCTCTCTCTCTCTCTCTCTCTCTCTCTCTCGTCTTGAACTCGCAGAGCTCTACCACCCTTTGCCTCCTGAGTGTGTGCACCACCATGCCCAGCTCACTTTGTTCTTGTTAAGGAGATGGAAGCAGGTCCACTTAGGCAGTGGGAGCTGGAAGGTCGTTTCTGACCCAGCCGCAGAATGCTGGCTCTCGCTGTTCTTGGAGTTGCCACACAGCTTCTGTTCTTTAATTTTTATCATCTTGTAATCATCCAATGTTTGCTTTTGCAAAGACTGACATATTTACTTATGAAATGATTTGTAAGCCATACTTTGGAGCCATACTTTGTATATTTATTCTTTTGTAGGGTTTGTTTTCTTGAGACAGCCTTGTTTTCTTATTCAGCTTAGGTTGGCCTCAGATTTGCTATGTAGGAGAGGGAGATCTTGGGCTCCTGCTCCCACTATCCAAGTGCTGGCATTATAGGTATGCACCACCACACTAGGTTTGGCTATTGTATATTGGATGTATGCCTTTTTAGATAGTTTTGTAAAACAATCTTTAATAGTGGGCTGGAAAGATGGCTTAGTGGTTAAGGGCACTGGCTATTTTTCCAGAGGACCTGAGTTCAATTCCCAGCACCCACATGGCGGGTAACAACTGTCTGTAACTCCAGTTCCAGGGGACTTGACATCCTCAAACAGACATACATGCAGGCAAAACACAAATGCACATAAAAATAAAAATAAATAATTAAAAAATATTGAATGCCTCCTGTGTAGGAGATGAATACAGTTCCCAGTGTTTACAAAATTTCCTCCAGTAATGAGGCAATAAGTTTAAAAATGCTGTTGAGAAGTTTTGGTGCTGAGATAAAATAAAATAAACTGAGAGCTGACCAAGTCAAGAACATTTTGACCTCTACACCATAGGCAACTATTCTGTCCCCATATTAGGCATATAACACCACTTATAGAAGATGGACTCAAGGCCCACAGTGTTATATGACTTGCTTAAAATCATACAGCTAGTAAGGGCAGACTTGGAACTTGAAAGCTGTGGCTCCCTAGGAGTCAAACTCTGTGCCTGGTACATTTAGGTAGAGCTGCATCGTTGACCTAGATTCCAAGACGCAGTTAATTCTGTTAAGTATTTTGTGCTACTTAAGTTAAACAACATTTACCTGTGGAAATAAAGATTTCAACAAGGGTCAGTTAGGTGGCCTAGTGGGTAAGGGTGCTTGCTACAAAGCCCTGTTGACCTGGGCTCATACTTAGAACCCACATGAAGGGGAAAGGAGAGAGCTGGTCGACTCCACAGAGCTGTGCTCTGTCCTCCATCATACACACACTCATAATAAAGTAATAAAACAAATTATACACCTGGGGCTTGAGAGGTGGTCCAGCCCTTCAAAGCATTTCCAGAGAACCTGGGCTCAACCCCCCCAAACTCACATGGCAGCTCACAACCATTTGGAGTTCTGGCTTTTGAAGGCACCAAACATGCATGTAGTGCACCAAAACACATGTAGACAAAACAATTATACACATAACATAAAAAAATAAAATAAAATAAAATCTTGAAATTATACAAGTTTGAAGGATGAGGTGACCTTTTTTCTAGGAAAAGAAAATAGTGTTATGAGAGAACAGCATGTGTCATGGGCCCATGTCCAGCGGGAACAGCTGAAGATGTGAGAAAAGTCCACCGAGGCCCTGCAGTGGAGCCTGGATGGTGCTGGAGAGGAATCCGACCACGTGGGCTTGTTGATCACATTATGCATGGGATTTCTTAGAGTAATGCTAATTCCTTAGTGTTTCGAGGAAGATGGAAGGACTGTGGTATTTTAGATGCAGGCTGACAGAGGAAAGGGGTTTCAGTACTTGGTGTGTTCAATAGAAGCTTTTGTTGTGTGTGTTTGCACTTGTGTGTTCATGCATGTGGAGACCCGAGGTCATTGTCAGGTGTCTTCCCAGTCACTATCCACCTCCACCTCCCTTTTATTTTTTTGAGACAGGATTTCCTACTGAATCTGGAGCTCTTTGGCTCAGTTAGACTGGTTAGTCAACAAACCCTGAGGACTTTTGTCTCTGTTTTCTCAGAGCTGGGGATACAGGTGTGCCAGCTTTTTAGGGTATCAGACTTTGCCTTCACGCTTGCATGGCAAGCACTTTCCTGACTGAGTCATCTCCCTAGCTCTCTCCCTTAAACTTTAAAATTGCATTTGTGTGTGTGTGTGTGTGTGTGTGTGTGTGTGTGTGTTTGTGTGTCTGTCTGTCTGTCTGTCTGTGTGTGCATGCCACAGTGTGGACAGCTTTCAGGAGTCAGTTTTCCCCTTCCACAATGTTGTCAGGGTATATGCAGCAAGCTCCTTTTACCCCCGAGTCATCTCACCTGCCCCTTGTATTTTTTATTTAAGGTGCATGCATACTTACATGCTTTTATCTGTACAATATGCATGTATGGGGCCTCAGGTCAGAGGGGATGCTGGACCCCTGGTACTGGAGTTAGTCAGTTGTAAGCTGCCATCTGGATGCTGGTGACAGAACCTAGATTCTCTATAAGAGCAGTAAGTGCTCTTAACTACTAAGCCATATCTTTAACCTCCCAACTTTTTTATGAGTTAGGATCTCATATAGGCCAGGCTGGCCTTGAACTCTCTTAGCTGAGGATGACCTTGAACCTCTGATGTTCTGCTTCCTGAGTGCTGGAGTTAGGGCTCCAGTGCTCCGCTACACACCACATCTATATGGAGCTAAAGGTTGACCCCAGGGCTTCATACATGCTAGGCATGCACTCAGTCAGCTGAGCTGTATCTTGGATGTGCATGATCTCTCCTCTCTCTGTCTCTCTCTCTCTATATATATAATGAAGACAGGGATATATATATAGTTTTCCTGCCTTGTCCATAGTCAGGACAAATCTTTGTTACCCGCCAGTCCCACAGCTGCTCAGACCCAACCAAGTAAACACAGAGACTTATATTGCATACAAACTGTATGGCCGTGGCAGGCTTCTTGCTAACTGTTCTTATAGCTTAAATTAACCCATTTCCATAAATCTATACCTTGCCACATGGCTCGTGGCTTACCGGCGTCTTTACATGCTGCTTATCCTGGCGGTGGCTGCAGTGTGTCTCCGCCTCAGCCTTCTGCTTCCCCGAATTCTCCTCTCTCCTTGTCCCACCTACTTCCTGCCTGGCCACTGGCCAATCAGTGTTTTTTTTTTTTTTTTTTTTGTTTTTTGAGACAGGGTTTCTCTGCGTAGTTTTGCGCCTTTCCTAGAGCTCACTTGGTAGCCCAGGCTGGCCTCGAACTCACAGCGATCCACCTGGCTCTGCCTCCCGAGTGCTGGGATTAAAGGTGTGCGCCACCACCGCCCGGCCCAAAATCAATCAGTGTTTTATTTATTGACCAATCAGAGCAATTTGACACACAGACCATCCCACAGCATATATAATGAAGACAGGGTTTCTCTGTGTAGTCCTGGCTGTCCTGGAACTTGCTCTGTAGACCAAGCTGGCCTCCAACTCAGAGATCCACCTGTTTCTGTCTGTCTCTTTCCTGGGATAAAAGGTGTGTGCCCCCACTGCCCAGTTTTTTTGTGTTTTGTTTTTGTTTTTGGCTTTTAATCTTATGCTCTCTTAATAGATCAGCTGAGGCTGCATCTTGTCAATGTTGCCATCCTAGCACAGTGCCATAGAAGGTGCTGAATGTGGGGTGGTAGAGTTCTGTCCATAAAGCATTCCTCCTCTGACATTCACCATATGGGGGAACTGCTCCCTACCTTCTCTCCATGCTCCCTTTATGTGAACTGAATTCCACCACTCTGTTTGAAGTGGAACCTTTTCAAGGTTTTACCCCTCCCATCTCCCTTTCTACTTCTGTAAACCTTTTGGATGGGAGGCAGATAGCTTACTTTTGACTAGTCTAGGAAATCCAGAACATTTTTCAAGCCAGTTAACAGATATCCTTAGTTTCAGGGTATATATATTGTCAGTG